CCATGCTGCCAGGGCTGTTACCAGGGGCTAAGACCACAACACACTGATGCTATCCATCTCCAATGAGCAGCCACCATGGCAGGTGGCTCAGCCGAGGACCTCAGCTGAGACATGCAGGTGAGTAGTAACAGCATGAGGATGGTGAGCAGGTGAAGGGTTCCTGCTCCACCACTTTGCCTGCCTCACACTGGAGAAAGCCCTGGGACCAAAGAAAACACATTTTTATTACTGAGACAAATCAAACCGTACAACTCCTACACACCAGAGCAAGTCTGGGTTGTAAAACTGGATGTCCTTGAGGAATCCCATAGCAAACCCCAGAAATGACCCTCCAAGGGTGAGGCTCTAGCATCACGCTGCCATGGAGCTACACCCCAGAAAGGGGAGATGAAAGCGATGACAAATGACACTCACCCTATAATTGTGGCCAGACTCCAATGCAGTGAGTACTGCTGCATTATTAAGAGCAACCAAAAATACTCCCAGCTTAGTCATTAGCTGCCCTGGGCTACGCAGCGAGCAGCTTCTGGGGCTGTCTCACCCCTGTGCTTGCAGACGGGAAAAGAGGAGAGACTGAAATGGTTTGCAGCTATTTTTATGCATCCTTCACTCTGCACAGTCAAGGCCCCAGGGTGAGCAGAGCACCTCCAGAGTGCCCTGGCTTTGGGCTGCTGACGGGGGGAAAATTGCATTAGGATAATATTAATTGCCTTAGTATAAGTGTAACAGCTTACCCTAAGCCAGCAGAGCTGAAGCAAAGCACGAGGTCAGGGGAACCTGTGGGCATAGCTTTGCTTCATACCCAAGGTGGGATTGGGGCATCAGCCTTGAAAAATGGCTTCAATGTGAAGGATGTGAGGAGGAGGGCATGGAGGTAGGGTGGGCTCCGCAAAGCCCAGGCTGAAACCTCACACAGTGTAACAGCTACCCAGTGGTGTTGGCACAAAGGCTGTGTTTGAGAACCTGTGGACCAGAAGTCTCCAGAAAAGCTTTCTGACATCTTTATTAATGACGTGGATGACTGGGCAGGGTGCACCCTCAGCAAGTTGGCAGATGACACCAAATTGGGAGGAGTGACTGATACACCAGAGGGTTCTGCTGCCCTCCAGAGGGACCTGAACAGGCTGGAGAAATGGGCTGAGGGAGACCTCTGGAAGTTCAGCGAGGGGAAGTGCCAAGTCCTGCCCCTGGGCAGGAACAGCCCCAGGCACCAGGACATGCTGGGGCCACTCAGCTGGAAAGCAGCTTGGCAGAGATGGCCCCAGGGGTCCTGGAGGAGACCAAGCTGACCATGAGCCAGCAATGCACTCTCAGAGCAAATGCGGCCACCAGCCTCCTATGCTGCATTAGGTAGACCATCGCCAGCAGGTCAAGGGAGGTGATCCTGCCCCTCTGCTCAGCAGAAGGTGAGGAACATCTGGGATTTGTGTACCATGTTGGGCTCCCCAGGGCAAGAGAGACGTGGACATGCTGGAGTGAGTCCAGCAAAGACTAAGGGCCTGGAGCATCTCTCGGATGAGGCGAGGCTGAGAGAGCTGGGATGGTTCAGTCTGGAAAGGAGATGGATCAGGGAGATCTTATCCATGTGGATAAATGCCTGACGGAGGTGGGTAAAGCAGACAGGGCCAGACTTTTCTCAGTGGTGCCAAGGGACAAGAGGCAATGGGCAAAAACTGAAATCTAGGAAATTCTCCTTAAACATAAGAAAATACTGTTTTACTGTGAGGGTGGTCCAACATGGGAAGAGATTGCTCAGAGACATTGTGGAGCGTCTACCCTTGGAGATATTCAAAGCCCAACTAGACATGGCCCGGAGCAGCCTCCTCCCGCTGGCCCTGCTGGAGCAGGGCGTTGGAGCAGATGACCTCCAGAGGTGCCTCCAGCCTCGGTGACTTGATGTTTCTGTGGCCAGACCCTATTCCTAGCCGTGCCGTGGCTCTGCTCCCCATGACGTGGGATGTGTCCTGATCCTTGCCAAGGTTTTTTGACACCAACTGCAGAGAAGTTCTAGCTGAGAGACAGGAGCAGCCGTTATGATTTCCTCCGGCAGGTCTTCCTAGATCTAATAACCCAGACAGTTTATTGACTTCTTTATTTAACTGGAGTCACCTTCTCTCACTTCTGCGCTGCCGTGTTTGCCTCACAGCTTTTCCAAATACACGTCTACACTGAAAAATACCCCATCATTTCTTCTAATTCCTCGAATCTACCCCTCTGATATATTCTGGGTCTGATCCAGGAACATGACCATTTAATTGAGCAATGCTTTTCCCCATCCCCTTGCAGAGCCGCAGCATGGCAGGCAGGATCTGTGCTCCATCCTGGCTCTGGGACTGCGCATGGCTGGCACCCCTGTGCCCTGGGAGCATCCAGCCGAAGTGGGGCAGGCATGGGCTGCTCTGCTCCTCGATTGCTTTTGCATGTTATTTCTGCATGAGTTTTGTCCCAAAACGTGACTTTGAATTAAAATCCAAAGGCCCCAGCAATCTCAAAATGTATTTTTAATATTTTTAGAAGTCAAAATATTCTCCCTGTTTTTGTTCATGTCACATGGGTCCTTCCATGTGGGTTTTCAGCTGACCCGCCCCTACTATTTTAGGTTTTGGGTCAGAAGGTCTCACCGACTGCTCCTGCAGGGATCCCAAAGCCTTGCAGAAGCCTGCTTCTCTACAGACCCCTGCTCTCCAAAAGCCTTTCTAAGAAAATCAGTAGAAAGATGGACAAAGCACCAGTGGTTTTGGGTTCATATGAAGTGGTTTGGGTTCACTTTAGGTCCCAGCCCCCCAAAGTGCAGAAGCAGCTGCGCCAAAGCCCATCAGTGCTTTTCCCTCCTGAGCTGTCTTCAGGCAACGTGGCGTTCAGCTGCTAAAAGTTTAGTCGACAACTTCTACCTTTCCCGTTTTTTTTCTGCACACTTGACGAGATACTATAGGGACACTACATTGCGAGTCTTTCGGTTTAATTTATTCTGTAGATTATGAAAAGAAACTTAAAGCAAAGTTTCATTAAGCAGTTGAAGAAGACAAATACAAAATTTCATCATCCCTGGGAGTTTTTTCTTGTTAAACTGCTTGTCTGATGACCTGGACTCATGCGCTCCTAATGCCCAGGATGAATTGTTTGTTTTCTCTATTAATGATGCTTTTTTTTATTGCATTAGAGACATTTGTCTTTCAAAAAACCTGCTGTAGCAATAAGTGTTACACTGAAATGCTATCAGTGTCCAGGCAGGCGGCCATGGGCTCTGCCTGAGCTAGCCCACAGAAGAGAGAATTTTCCATTGGATTGAACTTTGCAGCTCAAATTAATCCCCGCGGCTGTTTCTTTTCCTGTTGTTTGAGTGATTCCTTTGTATTGTTTGGCTGCCATGGAAAAAAATGGTGTCAATCACTGAGAGGCTGTTCACCCCCCTGCCAAAATCCCAGTCACTACATCACCTCCCTGAGCAAAGTTGCCCAAAGCCAAGAATTCAGAGCAATCCACAGGAAGAGCAGGCATGCGACAGAGTAAACAAGTGAGTCATGGTACCTTCCCAGCCTTACCCCCAGTGGGTCTCAGCTACGGGGCTCCCGGCACCACTGTGGGGCTGCCCATCCAGCCACCACGACCCTCTCCCCCCAACACCCTTTTTACTGAGTGCATTTGCAGTGCCAGCAGAGGCAGGACCCCCCTCCAGCCCCCAGCAGCATGAGGCAGGGGGAAAAAAAATCAAAATATTGAAACAGAGCAGTCACACAGCTGCAGGAGGTTCACTGTCAGTCACTTTTTGGTGATTTGAGAGATTTGGTGCATACATGTAAGGAATCTCACCGTGATCACAGGAGAGCATCCCCCAGAGCCCGGCTGGGACGAGCCCAGCCAGTGGCACCGAGCATCCCTAGCCTGATACCTGTGAATGGCCCTGCTACATGGCCAAAAAAGGGTGCAAGTGCAGAGGTCCTGGCTGGTTCTGTCAGCCATGCCGAAATGCAATCCTGGCTCTCGGCCATTCATCCTGTTGCTGGACGCTGGGGGATGCTGCCTTGCTCTGCTCTGGGTGAGCATTATAATTCAGGCTCCTCTCAGTGAATATCATTTAATGCCCTCTGCTGAGGGTCTCCTTCCACTGCAGGGACTAACATGAAATCAAACCTACTCCCTCTTCTCCTCCAGCCTGCTTCTCCAGGAGAAATTGCACCCTTTGCTGGGAACTGGCTTGTGACCAGCTTGCTCAACCAAGGGCTGCAAGTGCTCTTAACCAGAGGTGTGGTGGCTGAGCCAGTGCCAGATGCGCTCACGTGCAGCCAGATGTGCTGGTGCTCAGAGCAAGATGCTCAAAAGCATTGGAGGAGTCCTGAGAAGGCCGGAGGAGCCCAGGGAAGAGTTAACTCCATGCTTGCAACAACCGCAACACCTTGGATGGCGTTCCTCCAAAACCCAAGTGGGACCCCAAAATATGTCAGAAAAGAATTGTTGTTTTTCCCAGGACAGACCCATTTTCCATCAAAAAGGAGTATGATGGAAAATTGTCACCTAACCTAAACCCAACAGGTACTTGACCAGCCGTGCATGCCCTGCTCCTGGTCTCCCTCGGTTTCTGTTTACAAGAATGTCCCCTCTTGGGTCACTGCACCGGTAAGCAAGGCAGCGACAAAACGAGCAATGACCTGGCGGTGACATACAAGGTTTTGCCAGGATGGTGATTTCTTCCATCACATGCCACCAAAAGGCAGCACTGAGCCAAAAGTGATTCAGCAATGCAGGAAGGGGAGAGCCGCTATCTCCCCCCGCATGCCTGTGGGGTTTTGCAATGCTTTCAACGCCCTGTGTCAGGTCTTTGAGATCTGTGTTACAACATGGCAGGACCAGGTATGTGCTTGGCTAGGAGAAACCAGCATTTCTGTGTCAGTGACTGCTTGGGGAGTGGCAGGGGGACACACAGGAGATGACCCTGGCGATGGGGGAAGGGCTGTGCCTATATAAAGCACAAGGAAGGGCAGAGGCAGCAGGTTTCAGCTCCTCTCTGCTCACTGCTCAGTTGTGATCTTTTTTCCCTGGAGGGGGAATTTCTTGATTTTTTCACTGCTTGGTGGCACGGGGCGAGGATGGATGCTGGATCAGCTGGGATGCTCATTACCCTCCTCCTCCTCTCCATCCTGTGGTTCCTGGTCTGGAGAACCAACAGGAAGAGAAGCCAGCTGCCTCCAGGACCGGCCCCATGGCCCATTCTGGGCAACCTATGCCAAAAGGATGTCCTGCCCCTCTACAGGACCTACGAGAAGGTAGGAGAGGAGCTGGCGGTGCCAGACCCGCTCCCAGCCCTGGCAGGGCAGCAGGAAAGACAGTGGGAATGTCCCCTGTCAAAATAAAAGGGGAATTGTGCAGGTGACTCTTTTCCCACCTTTCTTTTCTCTTTTTCTCTCCCTCTTGCCATGCCAGAGTTGCCTAAATCCCTGCTACTGAGAGCATAATCGATACTGTTATTGAAGTCTTTCTCCTCCTGCAAGGGACCCATGGTGCTGACACTAATCCCTCTCCAGGCTGTGGCACTGTCACCATCCAGAGCTGCTTCCTGTAGATTATGCTTTGAACCCCCAAAGCAGCAGCGGGATCAGCAATCCCCTAGGGACAGGGCTGGGGTGGGAGCGGGACGGAGACACCAGCTTCAAGGGAGGTGCTTCCCCTCCCTGCTCATGCATTCGCCAGCATTGTCATCACAAGACCTACTTTAAAATTAAACTAATGACTGGCATGCAGGACCCTCATTCACCGCAGCTTTCCTGTCCTCCCACAGCTGAGCAGCACGTACGGCCCCATCTTCACTGTCTGGCTGGGGCTGAAGCCAGTGGTGGTGCTCTGTGGCTACGAGGTGGTGAAGGATGCTCTGCTGGGCCACTCTGAGGCGTTTGGAGGGAGACCTGAAATACCCCTTCTGGTGCAGCTATCGAAAGACTACGGTAGGCATCTGGATTTCTTCGAGGCACTTTATTACTCTCTGGGTGAGCAGAAAGTCCCCAACTGCAGCTAGCCATGCTCATGTCTAGTGAAGGACTCAACACCCAAGACCTCAAAAACCCATTTCCTACTCTGCAAGTCCCTCCAACTATTAAGCCTCTTGTCCAAGGACAATATGAATTCCAGTGAGCTAGTTCCAGCTTTTTTCTGAGTTTCTGTAGAGAACCTCAGCCTTTCAAGGACACTGTGCACATACCAGGGTCATTAACTGGCTTATTGCCCTATTGCTCCTCAGCTGGGCTCAGAGCAGGGTCGCCTGTTCCTGAGGAGGAGTGGCAGGGGGGGCAGGAGAGGGGGCTTTCCTTTCTCCCTCCACGG